TCCGAAGGTTAAACCCTTCCACCACAAACCCTTAGAGTAACCCTTTTAGGGTTAAAGCTTTAGGGTTTAGGGGTAGAAACCCTTGTGGAAACCTGTGGTAAGTCTTGTGGGAACCCCTTACAGGAACCCTGCGTGGCCTCGCATGGTGTCCCAGCCCAACTCAAGGCGCTCTCCGTCCGGCGTGGGGTGGCCATTGGCCGTGTATCCCTGGGCTTAAGGTTCAGGGGTCTGATTTTTTTAAAGGGCAGTATCAGGGTTTGCTTGAAAGATGACGGTTTCGCTTCTGCAAAACAATGAAAGCCCGAACACAAGCCCAAAACCTTAAAGCCTCATCTCCGAAACATGCTGGAGCCTCCTAGGAGTCGGAAGGATCAGCATCAATATCTCTTCAGAGCCCCTTTAGAAGCCATACATGCTCCACCCCAAGCCCCCTTCCAATTATAAAGGCATCTATATCATAGCAAGCCCTCAACCCCAAACCTTTAAACCCTAAACCCCAAACCCTAAACCCTAAGCCCTAAACCCGAGCCTCCCAGGATTAAGAGTGTCCCCTCGAACGGATGGGCCAACCCTGGGCTTCTGGCTGCTTTGTCTGGATTGGGGTTTAGGGTTTGCACCCTTGGGTTTAGGCGAAACCCTAAACCCTAAAAACCCTAAACCCTAAAACCCTAAAGCCCTAAACCCTAAACCCTAAGACCCTAAACCCTAATCTGCTATAGAGTTTAGGGTCTGAGAGCCTATGGGGCTTCTCTGACATCCCTGACACCATTATGGCCTAGAAGTTGCTAGTTGTCGTCAACATTAGGTTTAGGGTTTAGGGTTTAGGGTTACCGCTACGTTCGCCACCCTACGCACGACAACCCTAAAATCACCATCACAGCTCTCCGCAGCGTACCGTTGTAGCATTGAGTCATGGCTAGTCAAGTGGGGAGCTGCAACCAACAAACAGAATGTAGACCTTGAAGAAAGAGGAGGGTGCAGAGCTTGTTCGGGTTCAGGACGGCTTGGGGTTTAGGATATCTGAGACAACCCTAAACCCTAAAACCCTAAAGCCCCAAACCCTAAACCAACCCTAACCTCTAAAACCCTACAACCCGAAACAAGGGTTTAGGGTTTAGGGACAAGATCCGGACACTTTGTTGGAACCCTTCAAGGCTTGGCATCCGGGCCTCAAGGCAGGTGCAGTTGGGCCTTCCATCCGCATGTTGCGGACAGGGCAGGCCTCATCTGATATAGGGGCCGTGATGATTAGAATCGGGTTTAGGACCCTAAACCCTAAACCCTAAGCACAAATTTGGGGAACTAGAACCGGGTTTTGGGAGGTATCTACTACTATAGCATCAGACAAGGGACCCTAAGGGAATGGTATTGCTAGTATTGGGTTTCTATAAAAATGCTCAAGGGTCCTCAACCGGAAACCCGCCACCGTAACCGTAAACCTTTTCAGATTTATGCTCGTTGTCATATACCGAAGTGTATCCCTAAACCCTAAACCCTAAACCCTAAACCCTAATTTACGGCTGGATCTGAAACGCTGTGGTTTGGGTTTTTTCAGGGCCTTGGTCCACGCCAATCGCGAAACATCGTGAAACCAGTGTCCTCGAAGCTGACGGCGCAGAGTTTATGGTTCAACCCACCGCGCGTTACCTAAGTTTACGGGCTTCATGTTGTAGGCTTTTAGGGTTTAGGGTTTAGGTTTTAGACAACCAGCTGTTGCCTGGCACCATGTGACATTTCTGAATGGGACTGTTGAGTGTCGCGATAAACCAGTCACAGACTAGCCCATGGAAGCAAAAGGTGCAACCTCAATCATCGTACACAATTTGGAAAACAGGCAAAGCACAAAGCTGTATTGTTACCAAGGCGAGCCGGTTTACCCCCTATGATGTTCTAGGCTTCCTGCCAAGTACATCATTAGGGTGTGCCTCCATAGGAACCCTCAGAAACAAACCGGACCGAGGTCGTAGCAGCCCTTCTCTGGGCACGCCGGCCAGATTTCGGCCTCACGTCAGACAAAGGAACTTCCGCGCATGCTGGTTTCTCGTGCTGCAGGCATGCTGATAACTTGCCACCCGGTAATCCCATGAGCTATCGATTGACGACAACTTTCTTTGCCCACAAAAGCGCAAAACATCATCCCAGCAGCAATGATCATATACTCTAGGATCGAAACCCCCCAAACCCTCAATCCTAATCTTCAACATTACAGCAACGAGCTGCGATGAGATCCCAGGACTTTGCTAAGAAAGCTAATCCCGGCAACTGGGCCCCTTGCCTTCCTTCCTGTGTTTGAATGGGAGTCGGGAAACTCGCCCTTGATAGGTTTGCTGGACTTGCCGATGCTCCCCCAACTGCATTGCTGTGTATATTATAGGGAGTCTTTCGAGTTTGTGTTTGAACAGGGGTTCAGTCAAGGGTTTTCAAGGTCGTGAGGGCCCTCTGCAGGAAGCAGCACAAGCTTGCCTGCGCCAGAGACAATGCCAGTGCGGCGCGCATGGCATCGCTGAAACTAAGTGTGGGGAGCCTGAAGCTAGTGACTCGCTAGTACAACTGGGAGTTCGCACCTGCTGGAACTTATGCTGAGCTTGAGCTGATGTCACGATGTGGGGGTTTCCGAAAATAGGGGACCCTAATATAGTACCCTAAATAGTAGGATCCTTATTATAAGGACCCCCAAATAAGGTACCCCTTATTTTCGGAAACTCCCATGTTAAGAACCTAGACCCTGAACCCTAAGCCTGAACCTCCTACCATCGACACGAAGCTTTAAGTGCGCGGGTTACTGGGAACATCCCCTAAACCCTAAACCCCCCTCATAGCGCCCTTATCATTATGACACCCTTTTTGTACCCTTAGACCCTTACTATAGTACCCTTTTGAGAACCCTAAACCTTAAACCCTAAACTCTAAACCCCTAGACCCCTAAACCCTAAACCCTCTAGGCTAAAGTCCATGGAAGCCGCTTCTTCGGCAGTACTGAGCCAGGGAGTCACAAAAGTTCACGTGGCTTTGGCCTCAGAGCCTCTACAATGTGGGTTTAGGGTTTCGGGTTTAGTAAGTAAGGTTATAACTACCTTGATTGGGGTTATAACTACTTATATATTATAAGTATAGTTACTTTATTTATAAGTTACTAAGTCAGATGATCCTCCGAGTATAGGGGCCTTAATAGTTAGAATAAGGCTTTGCGGCTCCGTTAAAGGGTTTCCGTAAAGGGTTCTATAAGGGCTACTATAAGGGTGTAGGGTGTAGGGGCCTTAATCATTAGAATAAGGTTCTGAGGCCCATGATACTATAATTATCATAAGGAACCCCACAATAGTATAGGTAATTCTTTAGGCCCCTATAAATTAGCTCTAAACTAGGGTACCTTCAAGGGTCCTTAGGTTGCCATACTGGGTAGTTCTCTAAATTATGGTCCCTTTTAGGGTTTAGGGTTTTGGGGGATGCTTTCCAGGCCCCACAAATGGTACGGTCCTAAAGGGATCTGTAAGGGTGTCTGAGTATTTGGTTCCTAGAAGGGCACCATGAGAGTTTTTACTGAGGGGGCCATACTATGTTGGAGACCTGAAAAGGGACCGTCATGTAGAGAACCAGCCATGTACTATAAGGACCTGAATCAATCATTCGACCAGGATGTTTTGGGGGTTTCCATGTACAAGGATCAGGGCCTCGGCATATACCGCACACACACACATTTACTGCAAGGTAGCTGCATTCCCCGGATCATCCAGTCCCTTGTATAGCTATTTCGCCCTAACCCACGAAACGCAAGGTTGCAGTTGCAGCAGACCCTCGAAAAAAATAGCTTCAAGACGTGGTGCTGGAGAACTAAGTAGGACAAAGACTTCTCTCTAAACCCAGGTGGCTCAGACGCGTGGATCTTGACATTGTCAGATGGGCGGGGGGGATTACTATTCAAAGTCACAAGCCGGTCGGGGCTTGGCGATTTTAGGATTCGAGATGCAGAAGGCACTTTGTAAATCTCGAAACATACCAAAGGCGTTGGGCTCCTGGTAAGGCGAAAGCATGAGCTGTATCGAGAATCGACTGTGAAGGACGATGTGTGCCCTGAGCTCGAAGTAGAAGATGTAAAAAAGCAACCTCCTCGACATTATAGGGCCTGCGGATTAACATGAGGTTTTGGGGTATGTTATAGTATCATTACACTAGTCTATCAGGGAACGTCAAGGCAGCTGTACTGATTTTGCAGGTTTGGGTCGAACATGACTGGCAAGGCCGTTGCCTAGCACCATGGGGCGATTTCAGGTTATGGCAGGTTTCGGGTTTCGGGTTCAGGGTCT